GCAGCCCAGGATATCATAGGCCTTCTTGGCCGCAAGGACACATTGTTGGCTCCTGCTATCTACCAGGACTCTCATGACAGTACATAATGGAATAGGCCATATATCTGATATGTTATAACCAAAAAATACACAAATATAAAGGACAAGATGCTCACAGTTTCTGTTACTATTGCTGGAGTTAAGCTTTTGCTGGCATCATTCCAATGTTGTTTGTGCTTACACTTGACACTTTCATTTCTGTAGCATGTGAGGTGGCTTTATTAAATCCTATTCAAATTGTGTAGCATACAACTGAGTAGATGTAGAACAAAACTTCATTTAGTCAATGCACAAGTCTGGCCTATACATGTATTTATGGAACTGAACTTCAAAAACAGTCCTTGAATTTCTAGGAGTCAAATGAAGGATGTTAATGTAGAACAATGTTACCAGAAATAAAGGAATTGTGAACCTCTGGACATAGCCAGAGGCAGAGTAAGCTGGAAGGTCAGACACCTGGACACGCAACCGCCAGGGTTTTAGAACTTGTTCTAAGACAGGGCCTACAAGTCCTAACCAAGACCTCAACTCAACTGTACTTAGCTTTGCACAGCAGGTCTGTACCCAGGTAACCGTGATCCAGTGATCCAGGTCACTTGCATGTACTGCTGCTTGGACTAGCTAGCTTGACGGTATAGCTAAAACTGCATTAAGCTGAGACTTTCACCGATAACCTCTTCTGTTTACAGCTGTGCCAGCTGCAGAGCTTATCAACAGACATCCCCAGCTGCTTAATACCACCTCCCTGTCAGAGGTTATTGGGTTACTGGCCCATCCCCTACTTCAAAAGTTCAATGTGAACATACTATCTAAATTCTTTCTGCCATTCAAACATATGTAAACAGTTGAATTGGCTCATTCTCTTTCTCAGTGGCAGAAGCACTGCAGATGCTCCTCTGAAGGCAGAAGTTGCTATAGGGCTATCCTTTGGGATGTGAAAAATGAAGATACTGCATTTCTTCTTAGCTTTCTGTTAATGGTACTGTAACTACAGGGCTTGAAAAAACGATGGTCTGCAGTAGCTGATGTCTTTTTTTTTTTCCTTAAATAAGCTCAAATTCTTTGAAATTTTTTTCAGTTAAAAACTAAGAAATTGAAGTGAGAAGAGACTGTGCTCTTGTTTCTCATGCAGTTTCAATTTTCATTTTGGATTTTCAGCACCCAGCGTGGTATTGTTAAATATGTTTATCCATTAATTTTCTGCTCTGTTTCCAGATCTACAGGAAAATCAAGCCAGAGTCAGAAACCCTGAACTATTTTCCCACAACTTCTCATGCCAAGTCCTAAAATACACAATTTAATTCTTTCACCAATTGTTGCAAATTGACCAATATACTGAGTTTATTTTCTTAGCAGAATTTATCTTTGTTCATCAGGAAGATCCAAACATATGAGGCCTTCATCCTTGGCCTGCCTAAAGCTCAGGGATGATCACAGTTTGGCCACACTAATGCTATGCCTTATCAAAATAACTTCTGCGTTCTTGCTCAATCACTGAGTTTCCCCAAGGACTAAACACTTCTACCACTGTTTGTACTTAAGTAAACAGTAACAAGTGGCCTGTTGTAGTCTGTACTACCTTTGCTTTTGCTGATCCAAAGGAGGGATGGTAAAAATGATTAACTGTTTCCAGCCCTCCAGCACTTAAGTCTCTCACTCATGTTTCCCTGTCTTACCACTACCCAGACTAAAATTCAGTAAGCTAGGTAGCTTTATCCACATAGGGCTGTGGTGCTCACTATCAACTTGTCAGCATGAAAAGAATTACACACAGCTTAAAATATAAATAATCCACAGATCACATAAACAAATTAGTTCTTTTGCTGTTTAATATAAACAATTGTGAGAGTTTGCTTTCTTCCAATTCATTTATAGCAAGTCCATTGCAGCTGAAAGAAGCTTTAAAAATAATCATTTGTCTCCTACAGAACAAAATAATGTGTTAACTGTAAAATCTCTAAACTTAAAAAATACATATCTGTAGCAGCAAAGTATTTTTGTTCAATAGACTTTAAGATTTCAAGATTTAAGAAATACAGGAACATATAATCAAAATACAGACTCTGATAAAAGGCAACCTTCTGGAAAATCTCCCTAAGTCAAACCTGTAGAAATACATATTATTATTTAATTACGCTACATATTTCATTGCTGTTCATCAGCAATAATTACTATGAAATACATAGCTGCAAAGTGAAATTGTGGCTGATGCACTCAATTTTTATATATTATCTCCCCTATTTCTTTCATCAGAAACATTACTGTTACAATAGTCTGAAAACAAGTTATAATTTATAAATATCTGATACTATTTTCCAAATCAAACAACATGGGCCCAGATTTCCTCCCACTGACTTCTTTGTGAATAACATTAGGCCAATATTAAGTACCTTAAAATTTCTAAAGACCAAAATATGCATCTATAAGTAACCAATACTAGCATTTTAGAGAATGTAAAGATGTTAAGTACACAGTATTTGAAGAGATTAAAATAAAAGTATTTTTCTATTTCTCTGAGTATTTGCAAGTTGTTTTCAGACATGCCAGTACCACAACTGCAATCAAGCAAGGTTTTGCTGGTGTGAGTTCCTGCACTATAATGGCCTCATCTGCTTTTACTGCTCCCTTGATGGAATTCAGATTCTGTCAAAAGTGAAAGGAGTGGTCCAGTTCCAACCAGCAGCAAAACCACAGACAGGGACAAATCAGACCCAGGAAAATGGTGGAATGCTGCTCCAAGCTTCTCAGCTGCCTCCACCTTCCCTTTCCCCTCTACTTTTCACTGAAAGCGTACCTTTTTCAGTCATCCACTGCTTCCATGAAGTATCCCTTATTCTCAGTTGGCTAACCTTCCTGACATCCCAGTGCCTACAAACATCATTTCTGTGAGGTATTAAAGATAACTTTTGCCTTCCTGTCTCCAAACACCATCAATCCCTCACCATGGCTCAAATTTTCTACACTGGTCTCTGAAGAGTACTTGAAGAATACTGTGACATATGAAGCTAACAAGCACTAGGTTACTCTGACATCCCCTGCCTCGCTTCTACACTTTTTGAAATTAAAATTAATTCTTCAGAAGGTACAAGGAAAACCATTCAGCCTTCAACTCTACTTTGGTGCAAGACAATGCTATTGAGTTTTAAAATACTTGTTTGGATTTCACTAGGCTCTTGTGAACAAACAGGGTCTCCAAATAACATGTCTTATGTCTAAGACAGATGTTATATAAAACAATCTGTACTTGGATAGACTGTGGAAGACTACATCTTCACCCAGAAGAAAAACTTGGCCCTGTTGAAAACAGTATGGTATGACAGACTGACATCTGCAGCCCATTAGGCAATTTGACAGGTAGAACTAGCTGTTGTGCTTCACAGGAGACAAAACAACAACAAAAAAAATCTGTCTACATCTCTTGTCTACAAGGCCTGCTGACATACTCTCCCTGCCTTTTTATAGCTGAGGAATAGCTATATAGCTCTCTGTATAAATGTCACTCAGATGAACTCCTGCACCTATAACAGGGTTCTGGGTGTATTTGAATATACTAAGGAGATTATTTTTCTGCAGGTAAAGTCTATATTATATGGACTATAGCTGAGGCACTCAGTAGACTGAAGTTGTTCAAAGTAGCAGCTGGAGACAGTGAAGTGAAAAGATTCTCTCATCTTCACATCCTATCCTCTTCAGATGAAAGAGAAGCGCAATTTCATGATCATACTATCTACAGCTAAATATGGGGATAATAATTAAGTTAGCAAAAGGAAACAGGGAAACTAAGTGATTAACTACTCTCAAAGGACAAAGAGCTTTCAGTGGTAAAAAATGAGGGAGAACATTCCTTAGCTAATTTTTCAATACATATATTTTTAAACTCTCAAAAATCCTTACCTCAAAGAAAAGGACAGTAATGATGTCATTATAATGAAAACCTAGCTTGTGCTTTGATACTAGGAAATACAGAATCATAGAACGGTTTGGGTTGGAAGAGACCTTAAAGATCATCTAGTTCTAATCCCCCTGCCATCAGCAGGGACAACTTCCACTAGACCAGGTTGCTCAAAGCCTCATCCAACCTGGCCTTCAACACTTCCAGGGAGGGGGCATCCACAACTTCTCTGGGCAACGTGGGCCAGTGTCTGACCACCATCACAGTGAAGAATTTCTTCCTAATATCTCATCTAAACCTACCCTCTTTCAGCTTAAAGCCATTTCCCCCTGTTCTGTCATTAACTGCCCTTATGAAAAGTCCCTCCCCAGCTTTCTTGTAGCCCCTTCAGGTACTGGAAGGCTGCTATAAGATCTCCCCGGAGCCTTCTCTTCTCTTTTTTTTCTGACCACATTGTTTTCTTACTATTATTGCTCACCTTCAATCCTGTATCCATGGCAGGATTTTTCACAATTGAGATCACACACACATAGAAATACACCAAAACCAAGGCTATTAAAATAATCTAGAAACATTTTGATGAAACAAATTAAGAACGGAAACTCTAGTCCAAACACCTTTTAACGACAGTTACCTCTGTGTGTGTGTGATGCATATAAAAAGTAAGCACTAGCAATTGCCATTTCATTTTCTCCAAACCTGGGAATTAATATAAACCACACATGTAATTTTACTTGGCATTCAAACTGCTGTGTATTTGCCAGTGCTCCAGAACTGTTCTATGAGGTGTCCCCAAAATTGCTGTGTTTATCCTGATAATGAAACTCAGTCTCTCAGAACAGTCTCCCCACATTCTAATAGCTTTGTTATGAGAGAAGCGTTGCATACGTATGATATACCATTGGTATACCTTTAACTCATCTCATGCATCTTTGTCTCTCTCTTGGAGCACAAAGTTTCCATAGGAACACTACTGCTTTTTCTGATCCTTCGGTTCCTTACTTAACTGTGCACCACCATATCTTGTAAGTCAGAACTCAAATGACACATTTTTTCTAAGAAAGCCTACCTCTGTAGTAGTCCCAATGTCAGCAGATGGGCTGTATGTGCTGGTATCTGGTGGAGCAGTACCAACACTACTTTTAACTGGAGAGCTAGGAGGAGCAGGCCCTGTCATAGTTTCAGTATAGACAGAAGATTGATACAGAACTCCTTTCCTCTGAATTTTGTTCCAAACTTTGCTTGTAATCTCAGCCAGTTCATAAAGAAGCTGCACCTAAAAGAAAAGGAAAAAGCCTTTTTTAAGAGTTTTCCTTAACGAAGTGAAGGAAAATCATCAAAGTCCTCCAGTCAGTCTCAGAATGTAGCAGAAATGAACTTCTCACCATTTATAATGTTCTGATAAGCAACTATCTCGCAATTAAAATAATTAACATCAGTTACAGCATAGTGATTTTGATAAAAATAATCTGTGCTTTGTCTAAACATATGGTATGAAGCCCATAAAAACATAACCAATAACATAGTCTTGTAAAACTTTTACTAATACTAACAACCGAACAAAGGTAGTTTGTGTTATATTTCATATGGATAGATACTGTCTCTACAAAAAGGCAAGTATAAACTTCATGAAATATTAACAATGCAAAAATTATTTAGTTAAATTATGTTAAAACAATGATCCCATGCAGAATATGAAACTGTTCTATGTTTTAGGAAGAATATCCTTGATCAAATTCAATAGTCTCCTGGCATATGTCATTCCAATATTCAGAAACACGCTGTTTAACTTGCGCATTGTTTGACTAAGTCCTAAGATATTTACACTAGTTTTTGTAAATAAGCATTAATCACAGAATTTGTATGACAACATACTGCAATATGCTGTATAAAACAAGCTCAGAGAAAACTGCAAACAATATATAAGCAGATCCACAGCTGGATACCATACCCAACTTGCCATTATAAAAAATGGAAATTCTCGTATTTATAAGAACTTTAAGCCTCAGGACACATCTACTCTATGAAGCTGGCTTCTTATGTGGGTAGAACAGATGCAGAAAAACAGTTGTCAATCTACATTGGATATAAAACAGTACTTGATTTTGTGCGTGAGATTGTGTGATGAAGTCTCAAAGGACATGCCACAGTCCTTTCTTAAGAGGTGAAGTGTTGGAATTTTATAAAAACCTTCTTAATTCATCTCGGATTTTCTTTTGAAGTTTCAAGGCTTACATTGAGCAGGTTATATACTCTTTTGATAGAATTTCTCCTTAAAAGAGAGAAACTTCTCAGTACTTTTTTTGTCTTCATGTACAGAGCAGTCTACAGACAAACTCTAGCTGTTGCAAAAAGTTATTTTAGTTATGCTTTAAAGTATTTTGTGTCTGTAGCACTCTGATATACACTGGTAACCTTTAAAATACTAATTACAAATTTCTAAGTTTTCCCGAGTCTTTTCCATGTAATGCAGGAAGACCAACCAATAATATCCATCTAACTGACTGAGTAATATAACATTAACCGGTGATGACACTTTGCTGGCAAAATAGTCTCTAGAAAATTAATAGGATACAGGCACATATCCAAATAATATATGCTTGCAATCTCCCCTCAAAATTTTTTTTGGTCAAGAAACCAAAGGATAGTTGAAGTTATATTTGTCTTAATGAAGCAGGGCTTCCAGAAACTTTATTATGCTACTGTTCATAAAGGCACAGAATAATGCAAAAGAAGGAACATCTTTGTTTACACACATGCTCATTCACAAGGTAAAGAGGCTTGTCATCAGCTAATCCAACACTGAAGAGTTTAAATCTTATCAGGGCTGCAACAGTCATAATCATTAAAGCTATAATAATTTATGTTATTGGCTGTTACTCAGTAAAATGGAAGAATTTCTGCTTTTCCTGTTGGTTGCACTTTTTCAAGTGAGTAGTCTTAATATTTTGAAAATCCAATTCTGATCATATTAGAAGAGCTAATGTATGTGTAAGACCTCTCTTCTTTATAAGTATTTTTGAGCATAACAGTCAATATATAATAATTATTTTTAGTACACTCTATTCAAGAGAATAAAAATCATATGATAAAAATAGGAATAACAATGCCAGTATTTGTTAAGAAAAGTTTCCCTCTCTTACCACTTCCACTCCCTCCCCAGCAAAACCACACAACTCAAAATAAGACCCCACTGACTACTTGGCAAAATCTGTAAAGTTCAACATATTACAGCATTTTATACTAAAAAAAATAACTATAATAATAATTAATATAATAATTACTATAAAATTGAAAACTACAACAAAAGGCAATATCCTGGCAATTTTGCACACTGGAAGTATCTACTGACTTTAAAGTGATACAACCACTAGAATATCGTTTCATATTAGATCATAATAGTAATACAGTAAAATACTTCAGCTTTGCTACCATTTAACAAATTCACTAATACCTAATTTAAGGCTGTCATCTAGAGACAAAATACAGCCTGTCATTCTGAAGAATCAAATTTAATAGTTACTCTACTATGAATTTTTAACTACCAAATGCTGTTTATGTAAATGTATTTTCCATCTTCTGTTCTTGAACATCTGATTACAGAAGACTGATGGGATTTTTTCCACCTATTGCATAACTAAAGAAGACTGGACAAGTAAGGCAGATGTAAGGGAGGAAGGGTAGCTCAAGAACCTTCACTAAACTCAAATAATTTGTCTGCATCCTTTTAGTCATTATAATACTTCAGTAAATTAATAACATCACCGTGTACAAGGACATCCTTTAAGACAACAATATTTGGTCTCATATTCCATTGTGCAACTTCATTTAGTGCAAATACTTTCTTACAGTTTGTAAAACAAATTATTTGATCACACTTTGGTAGGAAAGCTTAAAAATATGTTTTACTTACTCCATTTTTCTTTTTAATTTGCAACCCAAATTTAGGTAAGGCTTACACTTATTACAATGCCATTCCACTTGTAAATAAGTACTATTAATATAGTCATATATTAACCATGAGTAATATATTTAGAGAATTAAGAAAAAAAAAAATCAGAGTTGATCAGACAATTCGATGGAATTTGACTGAGATTGTATCGATCAAACATAGCAAACTACTTTGCTACATGAACATCTCAAAACATTTACCAATTCTCTGAACAGCTGAAACCTCGAGAAGAATTTTGCGCAGTTTATGAAAATACAGAGTAACAAACGAAGGTTTCCATAGGCTGTGAAATTAATTCATATGAATTCATTAAACGTTATGGAAATACCACAAAGTTGCAAAGTAAAGATTTCAGAAGTCTCTACATATAAAATGTAACATTGTCAGCAAAATAATAATTTTGTCCTTTCATATTTATACACGCATAACACAGTGACAACCCCGTATGCGTGCAAACACACTTGTCAGACAGCTTTACAAGTCTGATTAGATCTTCTTGAGGCTGCTCAATTTTAAATTTTAATTTGCCATGTTCAGTGTGCAATCTCACTCTTAACTACCCTCTTCCTAGTGAGTATGAGTCCATTCAGCACAGAAGACAATGGCACATAGCAAATGAGTCAGAAATAACTTGGCTGGAAGGTAGTGAATGGGGCAGGAGACTACACATTGAGGATAAAATAAATACATAGTTTAAAACAATTGTTTCATTCAGAGAACATAGAATGAGACAAGGGAAAAAACTTCATGCAACTGAGAAACATATTGTAATGAGTATGCAAAAGGGCTAACATTAAAATTACACTAGTCACCTTAGCTTTAGTATTCCCAGACTCAGGCTATAGGTCCATAAATTTTTACAAACATGACATGGTGTCTATCAGAACAAAATTATATGACTTTGTGTTCTTTCCCTTTCTTTCTATTAAATGAAGCAATAAACAGCCAATTTTATCCATGATGTCCTTTGAAAAATCTTACATATGGCTAAAACTGTGGAGAAGAACAGCATATAAGTGCAGAGCCCTACTCAGACCTCCACAGATTTGCAGATTCCAAGAACGGGAGTGTTCTCTCCAATACCACTGGAAATGTTGCAGCTGTCAGGAAAGTGTTATTTAAGTTGCAGTAGAGATTACTCAAAATTTTGCATAGAAAACCTTCTCTATTAGGAACTGCAGGAAACTTGGTACAGGTCAGTAAAATACAGGGTGCACTTTCTGAAAATCTAGCAATATCTTTGCCTTCTAATAAATATAAGTGAGGAGGTAATGTTAGTTCTATGAAAATATGGTAAAAAATTACATTAAACCACTTCAATATATGTGACAACAGAAGAGCACTATAGCATTTAATGGTACATCTGCAATTCATTTCACTCCATCAGCCAAAAGATGCATTTATACTGTAGCTATTACATTTTGAGAAAAGTTTAAATTACAAAACTTGAGAGAACTTCAAAGCAAATCTTAATCTAAGCACCTTGATCTTGATGGCCCAGTTAAAAAAAAAAAAAAAAATTAAGACAGAAGAGATCCTCTTCAACAAAATGCAGAACAATTGTACTTAAACAGAGTTATTTTCAATTTCCTTTAATAAATCAATTAAATGTACCAACCTGGGGGTTGGAGCATTTTATTTCAAGGGACTCAAGGTCAACATGGAGGCAGACAACAAACGAGTGTCTGGAATCTGGCCCTGAAGCAAGCAGTTTCTGTGAAGTAACAGCTAAAGTAGAAGTACAGCCCATCGGTTCCACTAAATTAAGTGTCATCTGTTTTCCAAGAAGAGTATATATACTGAAATGATGCAGACTAATAGTCCATGGAAAAGCATCACCTAATGGTTAAAAAGAAGGGAAAACAGTTAAATAATTGCATAATAAAAAGTAGGATATTCTTTTCTCAAAACTCAGTAAAGACCTTATCCTAAACCCCCTTAGAAGTCAGCAAGTGCAATCGACAACCATTACACTGATCCCAAACTCAATTAAACTACCAGTTCCACTCTATACTTTGAAATCTAAGCAATAGCAATACATTTTTAAAAACTTTTTAAAAATTGAACTCCACTAGGAATTTTAACCCCAAATTGTGAACACATACAACATAGTCTTTAAAGAAGTCTTTTTGCTTTATATGATTTTCCTTAAACTAGGAGTACCCTGAAACCACTCCCCACTTATTACAATACACGGATAGCAGAGACAGTTCCTTACATTATGTACTTTATACATGCTTACGGGTTTTAATACTAAAAAGGAGAATTATCTTTCTTCCAAAAATTTACAGCTTGCAGCTCAACAGAGTGGTGCCCAGAATAAAGCCTATTCCAATACGCTACTCAGGTAAGTGAGACTTTGATCACAGTGCAGCTCTTTCCACTGTCTCCACTTAACTTCCTAGGAACAGAATGGTGATGGATTTTGTAAAAAAAAAAAAAAAAAAACCACAAACAAACAAACAAACAAAACCTAAATAAAAAAAATACTGCAGACTTACACTAAGCACTTCACTTCTCTTTAGGAGCGAGCCTACCCAAAGAAGTGTCTGGCAGCCTACCCTGAATCATTATAAAGAATAACCAGTGAGGAAATTGGCAATGTCCAAATGAACAACAAAACAGTTGCAACTTTGGTACAATCCATTTTCTTTAGATTGTTGATAGATGGGAAAGAAGAAGAAAAGTTTCCAAAGCAGGACCACAGGGAGAATTATTTGGGTAGGCCTTAAAAAGGCCAACAGGAATTCTTTTTAGCGAGAGAAAACCTTCAACAGTTCTACCAGCTATAGTTAAAAGTAACTCAGAACTCAGACTATGGGAACAGAAGTAGAAACCCTGTGGTGGGTTTGACCTTGGCTGGCCATGAGGTGCTCAGCAAGCCATTCCATCTCTCCTCTCCTCAGATGGACAGAGGAACGAAAATATGACTAAAGACTTGTGAGTCGAGATAAGGACAGGGAGATAACTCAGCAACTACTATCACAAGCAAAACAGACTCAACTTGGGGAAAATTAATTTATTGCACATTAGCATCAGATAAAGATAACAAGAAATAAGAACAAATCTAAAACCACCTTCCCCCATCCCTCCCTTCTTCCTGGGCCCAACTTCACTCCAAAAGTCTCCACCTCCTCCCCCTTGAGCAGTGCAAGGGGATGGAGAATGGGGGTTACGGTCAGCTCATCACATGTCTCTGTTGCTTCTTCCTCTTCACACTCTTCCTCACTCCAGTGTGGGGTTTCATCCATGGGAGACAATCCTCCATGACTTCTCCAATATGGGCCCTTCCCACAGGCAGCAGTCCTCCAACAAACTGTTTCAGCATGGGTTTTTTCTATGGGGTGCAGTCCTTATTGACCTTTGTGTTTGCAGAGTTGTTTCTCTCACATATTCTCACTCTTCTGTCCAAGCTACTGTTTCCCAACAGTTTTTTTTTTCCCTTTCTTAAATATCAACATTACTGATAGGCTCAGCTTTGACCAGCAGCGGGTCCCTCTTGAAGCCAGCTGGAGCTGTCTCTGTCAGACATGGGGGAAGCATCTGGCAGCTTTTCAGAGAAGCCACTCTCACAGTCTTCCCCACTACCTAAACCTTACCACGTAAACCCAATGCAATCCCACATATGATAACTAGGTCCTGGGGAAAGAATTTAGGCTCTGCAAGAGACGCTGAACCAAAACCCAAAGAATGCTTAAGAGAAATGAGGAACATGAGATAATGAAACATACATAGGTAATTCTCATTTTACCTGAAACATATACAGTTTTTTGTTCTTTAGAATTACAAGAGCATAACAATTATTTCAGGTAGTTTCCCCCCCACAAAGAGTCTTCATCATTCCCTTTATCAGATTTTCTGCTGAGGAAATTGGGCCTTTTTGTTCCCACTTGAATGGTGGACAGTCTGGGCCCAGCATGTGAATTCTCAATCCACCAAGAGAAACTGCCTGTCCCAATTCAAAGTAACATAAGTGGCTGGACGCAGTCTCAGATCCAAACACAGCAGGCTAGTGAGCATCCACAAACCTCTGCTGAAACAGTCTTCATCTTTCTACAGAGCACATTCATTTGAAGGAAGAGAAGGAGGGAATTTCTCCTTCCTGTGTCAAAATTCATAAGATTATTTGGTATAAGGTTTTATTTTTCAAGATTTGGGCCTGAAGTAATGGGTAAGAAGAGTCCAAATTAATCTAATACCCCAGAAGCATGGGAGCCAGTCTTGAGAATCAGAACAGAAGATGGCAGACAAATATAAATGTACATTGGGATGGGCCCTTGGAGTCTCACAGGGCAATAAAGAATTCAAACCAGTGTATTTAAACAATATATGGAGAGTGTGTTTGCTGTTTAGTGTGGCCTACAGTCAACACTGTCCTGCTAGGAAACCACAACACTAAGAAATAGCACAAATGCATAGAATCATAGAATGTTGTGAGTTGGAAGGGACCCACAAAGATCATCAAGTCCAACTCTTGCCTTAGCATAGGACAATCCCAAGATTCAGACCATGTGTCTGAGATGTTGTCTAAATGCTTCTCGAATATTGTCAGGCTTGGTGCCATGACTACCTCCCGAGGGAGACTACCTCTTCCTAATGTCCAACCTAAAATTGCTTTGGCACATCTTTCTGCCATTTCCTCTGGTCCTATCATTGGTCATCAAGAGAGAAGAGATCAGGACCTGCCCCTCTTCTTGCCCTTATGAGGAAGTAATAGACTGCGATGAGACCGCGGGTGATAGAGCACTGGAACAGGCTGCCCAGAGAGGTTGTGGAGTCTCCATCTTGGGAGATGTTCAAAACTCGCCTGGATGCTTCTCCATGCAACCTGTTGTAGGGAACCTGCTTTGGAGAGAAGAGATCAGTTCCTGCCCCTCCTCTTCCCTCTGTGAGGAAGTTCTAGACTGCGATGAGATCTCCTCTCCCTCTCCCCTTCTCCAGGCTGAACAAAACAAGCAACTTCAGCTTGTCCTCGTACGGCTTCCCTTCTAAGCCCTTCACCAATTTAGTGGCCTCCTCTGGACGCTCTCTAGTAACTTTAGATCCTTTTTATACTGTGGTGCCCAAACTCAGTACTCAAGGCGAGGCCGCAACAGTGCGGAGTAGAGTTGGATGATCACCTCTGTTGACTGGCTCACAATGCAGTGATTGATGCACCCCAGGACACTAAGTTTGCCGATGACACCAAATTGGGAGGTCCTGTGGACAGTCTCGAGGGCAGAGAGGCCCTGCAGAGAGATCTAGATAAATTAGAGAGCTGGGCAATCGCCAACCATATGAATTTTAACAAGGGCAAGTGCCAGATTTTGCACCTAGGACTCAGCAACCCTGGACACACACACAGACTGGGGAACAAGAGGCTGGAGAGCAGCCCTGTCAAGAGAGACCTGGGGGTTCTGGTCAATGGCAAGTTGAACAAGAGCCGTGAGTGTGCCCTGGCTACCAAGAGGGCCGACTCTATCCTGGGGTGCATCAAGCCCTGCATTGCCAGCCTGTCAAGGGAGGTGATGTGTTAACTATGATTATTTAAAAATAACTTTAGAAAAGTTTTGAAATTAAAATAAAGCAGGATACAAACATCTTTTTACCATATTATTTTAGTAAGGGTTCTTCCAGAGGTGACACCAGCAATAAATTTATATGGTCAGGAGTGTATGTCAGGAGAGTCTGTGTGTCACATCCTAAGAAAGAACTGAAAACTTCAGTAGTTTATTTTGAAGCCATTGCACATTGAAGAATTCAGCTCAGCCAAAGTAACTTGAAAATATTTTGGAAAAGGTTCAGATTAGAAATTTTAAAGTAGTTAGCAATCTGTATTTTTTCCAAGTTCAGTCAGCCAAGAAATACAAAGTATTAATTCTAATAGATGGAAAAAATTCAAAAGCAAAGTCAACTCTAATGACATGTTTCTAATTACTACACATGAACTTTGTTTTTCTCTGTGACCACCACAGTAAATTAACATAGTTTATATTTCACGGATTAGAAAGAAAGAATCTCCAGAGAAAATAAGTGACATAACTCTACTACACTGCGTACATTATCTACCTTAAAAGGAAAACACCGACCAAATTTTATCAATGTATAGAAACAACAGTATGCTGAACAAACACTGTAGTAAAGATATGGCAAATTTACAACTGCAAAATTCCCCCTAATGTCCTTAATTACCTCTTCTCCAGCTCTATACACACTAAGTGACCATTCTAACATTATACAGGAACTGTCCGTCTGATAAATCATTGTTTTGTTGTGGTACCTATGTTTGCTTTATTAATCTTTTAAAAACTGCACCTGCATTCATTTATAGATTTGTTTAATGAAACTATTTAAAGAATTAATTCAAAGTGTCTAAACATCAAAAATAACTTTTTTTTTTTTTTTACAGGATTTATTTCAAAAATTATTTATTAGTGGGAAGGAAGGAAGGAAAAGTCAGTGCCACACTTGGCAGATATTTTCTCTATATCTATATTTCCCATCCATATATACTATTGTTTTGTCACCTAATTACTGAGATTCTTTTATGCTGAAATATTTTAAGTAAATCTGACATTGCCATCAGTGGAACTAGTGCTCATGCCACATCTCTTATTGGCAAGATTCTAAGATACACACAAGGTACCCCTAGTATGGTTGAAGGTTCTGGTTAGTTCCTAATCTACCGCTCTTGTAAATTCGTATTTTTAATATCTTCAAATATCACTACCGATTTAAAAAACCTGAAAATGTATTTGTTACAGTATTTCAACTGCTCTGATAACTTCTTACATTTATAAATACCACTTTTATATCTTCGTCAATTGACTGACCCAAACACCAGACAATTTTCAAAGAAC